GCGAAATATGCTGCGCGTCGGCACGACACACGTCCGCGACAAACACCAAAGGCAAAGACGCCACCTTCAAAACCTCCACGTTGCCGGGTAAGGAACGCTTCGCGAAATGGAGATACTGAACAAAATGCACGCAATGCAAAGGTGACTCGCCCGATCCCGAACAGCTGATGTGTTCGGCGAATATTCGCTCCCTTTGATGTGTCCTAAAGACCGACACGCGGTGGGTAGAGAGAATACAGAATGTTCAGCGCTCAGCGAATCGCCAGCAACTCGTCCACACTACTCGGGATTCGGCGAAAGCCGCATGTGTGGAACCGCCTTCAAATAAAGTCATTTTCTCCAGCAGGATTTTCAATCAATGGTAAGACTACAATCAATCAAATCCGTTCCAAATTCTCGGCTGAACTAATTGAAAGAGGGACACTTCCAAAATTGACCTAACCTTTTCGATACACCGTCATTTCTCAGCGAAGTTGAAATATAGCTACGAGGGTTATTCGAACTTATCTCGCTATGAAAATAAGCTTTACGGGTAAAGACAAATTGTCCAAATAAGAAAGATATGCTTTCCAAAGGTTTTTTTTTTACTTTCGTTTTCTTGAAGGCTGTGGGTGGGAATGCTGAATATGGCATGGATACTTCCAATTTCTGATGACATGGAGGACTAGCGCAAGCCAACACCCACCAAGTATGGAAATGGAGGGTAATTTAGACGGTTCAATGAATCTTCTAAATCACCCACCATTTACATATTTGCACGTAAACGTCAATCAGTTTTCAGTTCTTGGGCAGCACCACCTCAGTTAGAGATCCGAATGAAGAAGAAAGGAAGGAAATTCCAGTGAGCTCGTTTCTCAGGGCACCGCTCCGGCATTCGCCTTTAACCACGGAAAACAACCGATCAGAACAGCCGCTCGCTAGAATTCTCCTCCAGACAGCGACAGAATTCGACCTAGCTATCTACCTTGTGAAGAATATCCTGCCACCGTCGAAACTCGAACCTAGGACCTCCCGGGCAGAGGCGACATCAGTCGATACCCTGAGCCACCTCTCCCGGCCCCATTGTGCGCGGCGTGGCGCGGCGTGGCGGTGTGGCGGCGTGGCGTGCGGAATGCCTGCTGATGGGGATATGCGGCGCGGCGTGGCGCGGCGCGGCAGCCGCGAGGTGCTCGTTCTTCTCTCGATGTACCAGGCCCGCGCGCGGCCGCCACCGCCACCGCCACCGCCACCACCATCGCCGCCGCGTGTTGACTTTATGTTCAAGTTGACACGGCCATAATAAACAACTACACGCGAAGCTACTCTCTTCGGGGGGAAAAGATGAAACTACCGTTGCTTGTCTCTCAAGTGAAAACATACGTTGGCTTTCAGCGCGCGCCGAATTTTAACATTCAAAACATGTCGAGTATTTCAGAGTAAAGTATTTCCTGCTTTCGTAAAAATCGCAAATGACATGATTAAAAAAAAAGAAAGACAAGAAATGTGTGGGGACAAAACTTCGTGAGTATCAGTCTAAATTGTGCTGATGAGAACTAGAATCATGAAAGCCTTGTGGGGTGGAATTGGATCATTACATATCAAACAACGTTTTCTATATTAATGAAATTCCAAATATTTGCATGTTTTAGCTACATTGAGTAAACGTGCATTACCGGGAGGGCAGGCGAAGTACACAGAAAGGTTCCAATTCTTTAATGGTTAAACGAGGCAACACACAGCATTAAAAATGTATAGCATGACCAACGCAGAAAGCCAACTGTATAATGAAATTATGCAGAACGGGTTACACATTAACACTTTATATGCTTGTATCAAATGTGACCTACCCCACATCATGGTGTTGAGGTAATTCTATGGAAGCCAACATAACTCACTAAGCTTTCCCCAACGTGTTTACGTGAGAAATATAGCCAGTTACTCGGAAAACAATTTTGGAACTGTAAGATAAACAATTACGAATTCGTAGAATAACCGAAATATCAACAAAATAGCTAAGGTATCTCCTAAAAGTATACCGTATTACACATAAAATAACGGGCGACAATAGTTTTCATTCCAACAAATAGGTTGCACAGAACTTTAAACCCATTGTCACCCTCCCAGGGTGGTGGTATCTTAAAGAGTTTTCAGACTGACCAAAATATGAGGTCCCAACAGTATTAAAATATTCAACTTTTGAACAAAATAAATATGAAAATAAACTTCAAGCAGTGCAATTTACAATAATTCATAGAAACAATCTTGTATATTTATTAATATTTTTTTAAAAATCTACCGTGGACCCCAATCAAACAGAGGTTCTAATCACGTAAGAAGGGTCGAATCTTAAAGCATAACTGCACTTGCGTTCCTCCCCACGAAACAGCAAGAAAGTATACGATCGACTGATTGTAAGTTATTCCAGGCGCGTCAACTACTAAGGTCATTAGTTCGTCCAGGAAGTGTGATGCGTGTTTCTTTTCTTCTGGAGGTGGCATTGATCTTTCTCTAGCTGGGTAGTGAGATCCGACGCATCCTATCGTAGGCTAGCGGGGTTTTCCCTAATCAGGTATCTCCCACCAGTGGGGCACCGCCCCAGCCGGGTCGGGAAAGCTCTAAGCTCCCAGCATGTGTGGTAGTGTAGTGCACGTGTGAGTAAGTAAGGGGGCAAGGTTGGGACAAGGTGGGGAAGGAAACACAGCGCAGTCCGTGGCCCGTTTATTACGTTGATGGGAGCACTAGGAGGGCGAAAGGGCGTCTGGCGTGGCATTGCTGGCCAGCGGCCGACGGCGAGGAGCGGTGTGGCGAGGCGTGGGGGCCGGGGGGACGCGGGTTCCATCCCGGGCGCCGGCGGCGGCCCGGGGCGCCCAGTGCGATTTGCATGACAATGGGCGCGGCACGGGCACGCATGCATAGCAAGCGCCTCACTAATGCCCCGCGCGGGGACCCGAAGGGGGGGGAGGCGGCTGAGAGAGGAGGGGGACTCGTTAGGAATGCAGGCGCTTCTTCACGCTCGCCTGCAGCGCCGGACGCCGGAGAAAAAAAAGGAAGGCCGGGCGGGAATCGTGTCTACTTAATTACGAATCCCGATATGAGGAAACCGAATTACTGAAGTAGTGTCGTAATAAAAACGCAGACGCCACGTTTGTCTTTTTTTCTTCTTCTTCTTTTTTCTTCCTAACAGACGAAGAACGGACATTTCGGTGAATAAAATTGGGAGCATACGATTTCATGACAGTGGTGCAAACAGAATTATCCATTGGAGAGTTGGTGTGGGGAGCAGTATACGATATCCTACCCCTTGATATTTTCTTTAAAGAATTTCACATTAATGCTGAATTTAAAAGTATTTTTGCATACTTCTCCCCCCCCCCTCGTCGATACGCCAGTGATTGCTCGTGTTTCTCTAGACTATGACAAATAGTGACAATTTGAGAGTTTCTTCTGAGGAAATAACTAGTATGGAAGTTTACTTTAACATAAACAAGCAATAGTTTCGCACATACTAATCAGGCAACAAAACCTATTTTCCTGACTTCTGGAATAAAATTATATCTTAGAAAGCTCAGAGTTTAAGTTGCTAAGTTAAAGATTATTTTATTAATATTTACATCTTCGAGAAATTGCAATGAAATGAAGTTATTCAGATATTATTACCAGGTATAAAAGGCAGGGCAAGCATTTGTGGAAAATGGGAGATATGGATACATTTTACAAGAGATAAATTCGTAACAATGTTCCCTATGATATTGAATAGTCCAAACCGTTTACGACACAACGTGACTACAGAATCTCGTGAATAAAACTTCTTAAATAGCCACAGGGTGGTCATTAACTGCGCTAGTGGCACGAACAGGCAGGCCCTCCTCTAATTTGTCCCTGCGTTGCGTGGGAGCGAACGGACGGTGTATTGAATAATGACATCAAAAAGTAATTTCTGCCTCCGAAAAATGAGCCAATTTGATGCCCATCACGGAATGATACGTCGTTAGGGCAAAGATTGTGTTAGAGAAAAGTGGCCCGCAAAAAAGGAAGGCGGGCCATTACGAGCTGAGGGCCCAAAGGGAGCCAAGGGCTGAAGGTCTGTAAGTGAGGGAGGGGGGCGGAGCACGAGCAGAGGAATAGCGTGGGACGAAGGGCCGGAGCATGAGAAGAAGGGGGCGGCAAGCAAAGTTCCAGAAATACTTAAAATAACCCTAAAATCCCTTAGAAATAAAGGGAAGGGGGGAAGAATAGTTATAAAATTTTCAAGTATTCGTTCGTTTCCAATGTATGTATTTCTTTTAATGACAGCTACAACCGTTCTAGAAATCCTAGTAGTATTCACTCATATATCTCGCATGTTCCATTACATCTCATACATATGAATCTCAATCTAACCATTAGAATCCTACTACATATCCTCTTACTAGATATCCTACTCCAACCAAGTCCTGTACATCTATACCATTTGCTAGTTTGTTACGAAAATTCGCAATCTTTCGAAAACACGGCATGAGCTCAATAAGAAGTAGCCCCAAATAAACATTTGCTTTCAAACTCGTAAGCCTCCAACTGAAGCAAATGAATAGCAAAGTATCCACTTTGGGAGAGGGGAAAAAATATTGTAAACAAAATGTTTCATGAATGTTTCGGGAGAGTTTCGCATGAATTATTAATTTTAGTGGTGTTGGGAGAAGAAACCAATCAATTTATTGAGATATTTTATAGAGAGACAAAAATCTCCTGCAAGAATGAATGGAAAATCGTCACTTACAAAGCCTTCTAGTTTGTGGGCAAATAGCGGTTAGAATACCCCAGTAGTTCAATCGTGCGAAGCGTGACCGCATCCCTTTTCAGTAGGGAGGCCACGAAGTCATGTTGCTCGCTACAGCTGCATGGTAGCGAGGGAGTCCTTCCCTAGATCTCCGGCTCGTGGGCGGGCGAGTTTCCGGGCCTTAGAGGAGGAGGAGAAGGATGAGGAAGGGTGGGGGGAAGGGAAGCGAGGGCCGAGGGAACGCAAAGCGCTTTCAGAAACTCACTTGTGGTACTGCGCCTGCAGGAAGTTGAACTCTTCCTTGATGCGGTCGCAGGACTCGCCGACGGTGAACTTGAACGGCTGGCCCGGCTGAGGGGGCCCCTGGGGACAAAGGAGACACCAACGTCAGGTCACAAGTCGAGTGCACATTAACACAAGCACAAAGAGGCGTCCGCCGCCGCACAAAAGATATCATACATTGTGAAACGAATTGTTTCAATGGTGGCCGTTGCTGATTCCGTTCCCACATTTATGTCGCGCCATAATTCATCCGCTCCGTTTGGACAAAGCAACGCCATACTCACCGCCGCATTTTGATGAGCTTCATTTACAGCATTTTATACATTATTCTCAGAGAAATCAAAAGAACGTCTTAAGATATCGTTTTATGAATCATGCATATGTTTCTGCAGCAGGAAGGGAAACGAATATGTACATACATTTTCCCACGTTCAACAGACTTGAATAGTTCGTGCATTATGGAAGAGACAGATCGCATAAATATTCCAACAGTTACGTGCGCCAACAGTAAAATGTTAAGACGATTTGTACACAAGACAATTTCCACGGGATTTCTAGGTAACTTAGAACACTTTCCGATTATTACCCAATTTTCACAGCTTGGTTTCTACTGGCGATTGCCTCTTTCTTGACATTGTTCTGAATATGTATGTGACTATATCAGATGTTAATTACGAAGGCGACTGAATTAGGAATAATCCTTATCCTCTGGTTGAGCTGAATTAACATCAGGTTTTTGTCTTATACTCTTTGGCTAGACCAGCGTTGCAGGTTAACTTATTTTGTACTCACACTCTTACTTGTTCGTTACGAAACAAGGGAGAATGAACCACCCCAGAATCTCAAGAATCGGCTTCCTCGCGGCACTCTGATATCCACCACCCCTTTCGGCCGCCGCTTCCCCTCCTCGCACAGGCCACAATTTTTGCCGGGGGGCTGCAAGTCCATTATTTGCCAATAATGGCCGGCGGCCGGCGCTACGAGGGGGTGGGGGAGGGGGCGCGGCAAAGCAGGGGGGGGGTAGCGGGGCCAACGCGGCGCGTGTGCGCAACACCGCCCCCGTACATTGTTCCATGATGGGGTTAGGTCCGGGGGTGTGTACACATTATTTCCTATATTTTCCGCGGCATTTCCGCTCTGGGCCTCCCCCTGTGTTATCCACCAATCAAAAAAAACAAAGTGTATGAAACAATTACGACGGGGATAATAAGTTTGCCGAACGGAATGGGATACACGGCAAACAGGCGGCAACGGCGGACGGCGCTCGCGGCGGGCGCGCGCGCGCACACCACCCACACACACACACACACACACACATAGACACCCACACACGCAAGCGGCCGCGCGCGACCCGCCTCCCCTCGCCTTCATGGCGGCGCGTATGGACACGCCGTGACGTCATCCACTCGCTCAAATATTGGAGCAGCGATCGGCCGGGCCGGACCGGGCCGGTCGGGCGGGCGGCCGCCCGCGCGTGTGTGTATTTGTTGTGGGGGTGGGACCGGGAGGTGCGCGGCGCGCGGGGGCGGGAGCGACGGCGAGGCAAGGGGCCGCAGACGAGACGGCGCGACGCGCGGCGACGGCGGCCAACGCGACGCGCTGACCGTCTGCTGTCTGCGGAGGCGACACGTGCGCGCCGCTCACCGCGAGTGTACTCGGTCGCCAGAAGCACACGCCATGCGACATGCAGGAGACGGGGCTTCTGCAGAACTTCCCACACCCAATCACAGACGTTTGAAAAGAACAAGAGTTTAAATTAAAAATTGAGACGGCCAAAGTGACACATTCCCTTTTTTGAAATTTCACGTACGTAAGATAAGTTCAATTATCCACTTGTAAATTAAAGCAATTTGACTTCATGTATAAATGATGATTTTTCTCCTACTTGCTTTTACCCATACTTTGCACCAATTGTCCACATTAGTAGTTCTCCACATTAGAACTTTCGAGAAAATATGAGTTTGAAAACAACGAATATTTTACTCAATATAAGTAGTATTTGCTCAGTACATTTTAAATGAGTCTGGTAAGTATGCAATCAACTTCGTTCTGATGAAATGATCTGACATCTTAATTTTCCACGTCTATGCGAATACAAAATATACACAAAAATACACAGGGACATAGCATGGCTCTGAATATGAGATCAAGAGCAAATTTACTCATTACATGTATAAATTATTCCTATTTGGCGTTGAAATTATAAACAATGGCAGCTGCGCCATTCGTTACAAATGGCCAAATAAAGAGAAATGTTCTTTAAAGCACACAACTTCTGCCGACTGTTTATTTGGTCACAGCGAACACGTCATTTACGCCGACACGGCAGGCTTACATGCGCATAAACAAGGGTTACGAACCGAAGTTGTTCCAACACGTATGTACTTTTAATGTAAAATAAAACGCCAGTACGCAAACATTACGTAAACAGTACCGCACAGACCTAAAGTACCATCGATGCCATGACTCGTAAAACAGCTACAAAACTTTACACAGGGTACTGGAACAACACGTAAAAATGCAAAAAACGCGGGCGATGACAAAGGCAGCGAAGCGACAGCATAATGTCTCCAGAATCCCAGAATGCACTGCAAAGCAAAGGCGTACACATCTTGCGATACGACAACGACGTACATGCAGCCAGGCCTTAGGAAGGATTTACCTGGTACGCCAACGAGGAACGACAATGATGAAAACTTCAACAACCATCCAGCACATATTTCACGACAGAACCATTTACAAATAAATTAATGTAGCAGCACAGACAAGTTATACTATATTTGCTTGATTCTCAATATTGCACAGCGGCATGGAGATTTTTTTCACAGTTGCATTCACCCATCGACGATGAGAAGTAGGTGCAGTTCAAGAAAATTTGTATTTCATTTCTCAAGCAAAATAAAAAGGCGAAGTGCTTAGTAAACAGACAGAAATCCACGTCTGTGTCCCAACAAGAAAAAAACCCACGTTCCCCAAACGCCCAGCGCCTCAGGCGTGACGCAAAGCAAAAAAACGCGACCCTACGCAAACGCCCACGCACACATCGCGCGTGTGCGTGAATCCGTGAGTGTGTGCGTGCGTCTTCCGAATCACTCACATCGGAGCTCCACTCGGCAGAGAAGCGGCGCGTGTGAACATAACCTTGGCTCTTCCCTGCTATCTGGGCAAACACGCGCGCGAGCGCGGGTGGCAAGGAGGGAGGGAGGGAGGACGGGCAGTGGCTCCGCGAACCTCCCCCACCCTGCCCATTCCCCTCTACACAACGTCTCCGCGAGCGCCGCGCCGCCACCTTCGCCTGGAACGCTCTCTCCCGCGTTTGCTCCGCCGCGCGAGGAGAAGAGAGCGAGCGTCTGGAGAATCGAACGCGATAAGTCAGCACAAACACGCACGCCTCTTCTCCAAGTGGCGAACGCGCGCGGAGCTCGAGCGGCGGGGAGGGCAGCGGCAGCAGGAATTCCCGAGCGACGCCGGGAGGGGGGCGCAGGGACGGCCGAAGGAACGCGCACCACCGCTGTCGACGAGATCCCCCATTCAAAACTCCTTTATGTACACGAGCGACGCAAAAAAACAAAAAGTCCCACTTTCGTCCACGTCAACGGTCTTACGGATTCACGGTTTGCTCTGGGCCGCACTCCGCTCCCCTCTCACCATCCGGTCGCGGAGGGAAACGACTCCAACGTCGGTCAATATTGGGACTCGGATATGTATCGTTAAAAATAATAAAAAAAAGAGAGAGAGAAGAGGCAGGTAATGTGTTGGAGATGGGAGACACGTAGACCGTATGTGTACTGCCCCAAACACGGAAGGCCAACACTCACACATGCGCCCTATCTTATCGCGTACGAGCGAGGGAGTGTGTTCTCAGATTAGGATAAAAACTGTTGACTCGACGGCGAGTCAACACGCTCGCGCGCGCCGCCCGCCCGCCGCCGCCGCAGGTTCCGGCCGCGGCACCCGGCAGCTCCCGGCGCGGCCGGGCTACCGTCAGCCGAGGACGAGACTCTGGTAACGAGCTGCCTCGTGACACGCGAGAAGGGTGTAATATTGCGCCTCTGTCTGCAGTGCGGATGATACGTACTTATGGGGACGTACGGCAAGGTATGAAACTCGACGGAGAGCATTTTAAAAGTGAAGACAACGCTCTAATTATGGGGAGTTTTTACCTACTTTTGTATTTTTGATTTAAATAAATGTGTCCCAAAATTTTCAGATCACAAGAATTCACTATTTTAGGGTAACTTAGGCCTCACTAAATTTTCGGTTAACACAATAATCCAATTGCAGAAATTTAACTGCGGTACTCTCAAACTGAATACTATAATTTAATAAAATAATTGACGATTATGTAAAATGTCCATTTGCCGAGGTTTGTTAAGCTGTGTCTCAACTCTAACACTAAATGACAGCTGTTGGAGCATTTTTTTAAAGATACGGATTTCAATGGCTATTCACCTTTTTTTGCAATGCGCCTACAGTCATCTGCCATCACAGTCATCAATGGTTACATTCATTCACTCACCATTTATTTACCGTAACTCACGATTCTTTCAATTACCGTTTTCTGTGTTCTTAATGTGACGACGTATTACACATTAGGAATGGGTTACCCATGACAGAATATCTTCTAATCGTCATGTCAGGGGCTCCCAAAAGCACAAACTGCAATCCCGATTTACTTTAGGGTCAAGCTCTATTTTCGTATTGAATTGAATGTACATGCAATAAGCACTTATTTTTGAGTTTCGTGATTCAGCTACTACCTTTATAACAGCATGTTTCGGAAGAACAATTTGTTGTTTTCATTGCATGACAATCATATCTTTTCTTTACCCCACTGTAAATTTCAATGAGTTTTTTCACCCTGGTAATTACTGAAAACATTACATCTTCCATACCAAAAGTCTGCTTGACCTGTGTACAAACTGGTATTGCTACGGACGAGATGTTGATGTTTGCGATAATGGTATCTAAAGCAAGATCGCGCAGTTTTGTGGGGTTTTAGTGGAACGAATAAAGTAAAACTGGTTTCTAACGAGCTCACGTCGAACCGGATCCGATGAACCGAAGTGTGACCGCTTATC